TTCCTAGATTATAACAAGGCATTCGATACAGTGAAATATAATCCGTTAATCGAGAATTAACGACAGAAAACAAAGAACATCGACACACAGGATATAAGAATAATAAATAATCTGTATTATGAACAATAATCTATCATAAGAATAAATAATTTAAAAACTTCTTCTTCTTTCAGTGCCTATTCGTTCCGAATATTGGCAATCATTCTGGCTATAATTATTTTATTGACTGATGCTTTAAATAGATTCGTTGTTGTTGTGGAAAACCATTTCCTCAGGTTCTTCAACCATGATATTCTCCTTCTCCCAATTCCTCGCTTTCCGAATACTTTACCCTGTAGGATTACCTTCAGTAATCTGTATTTAGTGCTGTTTCTCATTATATGTCCGAGATATTCCAACTTTCTCCTTTTAATGGTATACATCACCTCTCTTTCTTTGCCCACTCTTCGTAATACGGTCTCGTTGGTTATCTTGTCTGTCCATGATATCCTTAGAATTCGCCTGTATAGCCACATCTCGAAGGCTTCAAGTTTTTTCTCCATTGCTTCAGTTAGTGTCCAGGATTCAACTCCGTAATACAATATTGAGAAGATATAACATCGTAGGAGCCTTACTTTTATCTCCAGATTAAGATTGTGGCTTTTAAAGAGTTTGGCCATGTTATTAAATGCACTCCTAGCCTTCTCTATTCTACATTTTATTTCCTGTGAGTGATCCCATTGTTCATTTACTGTTGTTCCAAGATAGTTATACTGTTTTACTCGGTCCACTGGTGTATTATTGATAAGTAGTTGAGCGTCTCTAACTTTATTTTTGCTGATGATCATAAATTTAGTTTTTGTTATATTTACTTGAAGTCCAAATCTTTCACTTACTTCATTTACTTTGTTTATTAGTTGCTGTAAACCGTTCAAACTGCCTGCAAAAATAACGGTGTCGTCTGCATAACGAATGTTGTTTAGGCGTTCTCCATTTAGAAGTATTCCATGTTCGCATTTTTCCAAGGTTCACTAAATATTTCCTCTGAATATAGATTAAATAATATAGGTGAAAGTATACAACCTTGTCTAACGCCTCGTAGAATCTGGATCATTTCCGTTGGTTCACCTCCAAAATTCGTTCTTATTGTGGCTGATTGGTTCCAGTATAAATTTTGTATTATACGCCGATCTTTATCATCCATTTGGGCTTTTGTTAGAATATCCATCATTTTTTGTTGTTGAACTGTATCAAATGCTTTTTGGTAGTCCACAAAGCAGGTGTAAATATCGCAAGTCATATCTCTGCATCTTTGAAATAATACTTGTAGACTAAACAGTGCATCTCTTGTACCTACGCCTTTCATGAATCCAAACTGTGTGTCTTGTATTCTCTCTTCGCATAGCTTGTATATTCTACGATGTATAATTTTAAGAAAAAGTTTTAATGTATGGCTCATTAGACTTATTAGCCTATATTCTCCGCACTTTTTTGCTCCCTGTTTCTTTGGTAAGGTAATAAATTCTGAAAGTAGCCAATCTTTTGGGATATTGCCTGTGTCATAGATATTATTGAAGATTTTACATAGTACTCTTAAAGATTCATCATCAAGAAGTTTAAGAAATTCAGATTGTACTCCGTCTGGTCCTGGAGCTCTACCTTCTTTTAGTGATATTATGGCTGCTCTTATTTCTGCCACTAGTATAGGTGGTCCTGTTTCCGTAGGTATTGGGGGCTGGTTCTCTCTCTCATCAAAAAATAAATTTCTTATGTAATTTTTCCAGGTATCATTGATACTCTCTTTGTCCACGATTATCTCTCCATTGTCATTAACAAGTTTACTTATTCTTCTGTTTTTACATTTACCTGTAATTTCTCTTACCTTCTTATGCACGTTGAAGTCGTCGTATTTACTTTGGAGAATTTCGATTTCTTGGCATTTTTTTTCCAGTTCTTTCTGTTTGGCTTCTCTGATCTTTCTCTGTATCTCTCGCTGTAATGTTTTATACATGGAGTTATCGTTCTTGTTTTTCCTTCTTTCTTCCATTAGTTGCAGAATCTCTGTCGTCATCCATGTCTTATTCTTACCTTCTTCGTTCTTCATAAAATTGTCTTTAATGTCGTCTATTGTTTTCTTAAGGGATTCTATCTTATCTTCTGTGCTTTCCGTTGTATTATCGATTTCTTTAAATTTTCTATTTAATGTTTTGCTGACTATTTCTTTTACTTCGCTACATTTCAGTTTTCTCATGTCATGTTTTTTTACAGTTTTTCCGCGTATTTTCTTTAGCTTAGTTCTATACACGCCCACTAAAGGATTGTGGTCAGATTGAATATCAGCGCCTGGGTAGGTTTTAACACTGTTGAAACTATTTCGATATCTTTTGTTAACAAGCATATAGTCAATTTGATTTCTAATAATAACGTCTTCTCCGTTGTCTCTAGGTGATTTCCACGTATACAGGCATCTAGGCGGTAGTTTGTAAAATGTGTTTAGCACGATTAAGTCATGCTCAGCTGCAAAGATACTCATTGTTTCTCCGCGTTGATTTCTCTCTCCTAATCCATGTGGACTAATATGTTGCCCTTCTTTTCCGTTACCTATTTTTGCATTGAAATCTCCCATGATTATAAGGAGTTCGTGTCTCGGTATATCTCTTATAAGGTTGCTTATTTGTTTGTAGAATTCTGATATTTCTTCATCAATATGGTCTGCTGTAGGTGCATAGACTTGTATGATGTTTGTGTTCACCGGTGACGTATTTATTTGTAACAGGAGGATTCTATCGTTCACTGGTATGAAGTTGTTGACTTGTTTGGCTATACTTTTATGCGTGATAATTCCAACCCCATTCTCATATTTACCATTTTCTGATCCTGAATAGTATACTCTGTAGTCTTCTATATCACAATAACTTGAGTCAGGCCACCTCATTTCACTTATGCCCATTATTTCTATTTTCATGCGTTCCATTTCTTTAATTGCGCATTGGATTTTTCCTGATTGAGCCATCGTCCTAACGTTCCAAGTGGATATCCTCTTCAGACAATTCGTGTGGACTTTTCTTAAAGGTGTTTTATTGGGTATTTCACAGGGATTTTGCATATTAACGACCTGAGAGGCCCTGTGGTCATGGGAATGACCTCTCTTGCCGGATCTTGGTCTCCGATGTCCATGATCAGTATGCGAATTTTTATTGAGTTGTACAGCCATTATAATTGTACTAGACATATCCATAGGGATCTTTAATATAGTGGTTTCTCGTTGCCTTCTATATTCTTATGCCGTTGACCAAACCATTGATTCTTCCGCCTTTGGGGCCGGTTTCTCAGCCCCAGGACAAAAGAGTGCCCTGCCACCTACCAACTCGTCCGCCCGGAGCCGTTGGTCGGTAAGTGGGGGACTGCTTATACCGGCAATCACTCGGTCCCTATCTGCGTTAGCCATTAAAATTTATGTTGCCCGTCCTCTACCGCGTGGAGGTGCAGATTCGGATTTTTCCTTCATCGAGATTAAGACCTTTCGGCATTTCCTAATCTCTCCAGAGCTTTAGAAGACAATAGAAGAAAATTTAAAAACTAATAAAATAAAAATCAAAAGAGGTGTTAAACAGGGCTGTGTCTTGTCGCTAACAATGTTTATTGCAAAATCAGAGAAAATATTCAAAAAAGCATTAGAAGATGAAGTAGCAAACATAAAAATAAATTGCCTACCCATACGTGAAATTAGATATGCTGATGATACATTACTAATAGCAGAAAATATTACAGATCTACAAAGAATTTTTGATAAGGTTGTTACAGCGAGTGAAGAATTTGGTCTGTCACTAAACATAAAGAAAACAAAATTCATGGTATATCAAAGAAAAATATTAGATACATTAATCTATACGTAAATAATAAGACGATAGAACGAGTTTAGAATTATAACTATTTAGGGGCAAACATTAATGAAAGAACCGATTATATTAAAGAAATTAGAGTTAGAATAGAAAAGGCTAGAAGTGCATTCAATAATACGAAACAAATATTACTTATGTTGTAATCTCAGCCTAAATCTTAGAAAACGAGTTCTAAAGTATTATGTATTTTCTGTTCTTTTGTATGGTGTGGAGACATGGACTTTAAATAAACAATGTCTTAATAAATTGGAAGCATTTGAAATGTGGACATATCGAAGAATGCTGAGAATCTACTGGACAGACAGAATAACCAATGAAGAAGTACTAAGAAGAATAGAGAACATTAGGGAGATACTGGATTCCATCAAAATAAGAAAACTACCATATTTGGGTCATATAACACGTGGTGACAGATATGAATTCCTAAAATTAATAATGCAGGGAAAGATTCAAGGAAAGCACAGCATAAACAGAAGATGAATGTCCTGGCTGAGAAATCTCAGAGAATGGTTTGGATACAGCTTAACTGAACTCTTTAGGGCTGTAATGTCAAAAGTTAGAATAGTAGTGATGATTGTCAACCTTCGTCGCGAAGATGACACGTAAAGAAGAAGAATATTGTGCACACTAAACCGTGATAGTTAATTGCCGTTTGTGAGAGAGGTCAGGTGGACTGACTTCACTGATGTGTTGTATCATATAATTGATGTTGATCAAGAATTATTTTAAAGATTCAAGTACTACGTTGCTTTTTAGAACTTTGGACGTGTATCTCCGGTTTTGCGACAAACCAGCAGTGAAAGGCATTAGCAACTGATTTTATATATAACTGTATAATTGTTTTTGGACTTCTATAAAAGAACGTATAGAATAACTTGTAATAAATATATTTTGTAGTTAATTTCAAATGCACAATTGAAGAAATTTAATATTGTAAACTTTTCTCTAGAAACTTAAAATATCACTGGCATAAAAGCTTTTTTTTCAACTAACAGAATTTGCATTTGTTAACTTTTTCGTAAACAAATCTTTGCTTAAAATCGATAATTGTGTGACCAATCTTCAGACACCAAGATGCTTTTTTGCCATGCCATAAAACACATTCGTAATTTTTAACAGACCGATGACAAATGCTGCGATACCCAAAGTAGGCCTGTAACATTAACACACTGTGATAATGAAGACTCAGCTTGTAGTTTAACAAAGTCTAGAAATTGGTTTATTACTTGTGTTACTGAAGCGATTGTGCAGAATTTAGAAGATGTTTCAGTTAGTATCCGTTTACAGCAAACTGACGATGAGGTAAACAAAAGAAACTAATCATTAAAGGCTTGAGTTTGTTGAAAATACTAATATTTGACTAATCATTTCACTTATCATTCTATATCATTCACACCATGACTATTATCAAGAAAAAAAATTTTTTCGCTGTAAAACAAATCTTTTTAGTTTTCTTTAAAGTGTCTATCTAGACAACACTTGTAGAATGGGTACCTTTTTTGGTCTTAATAGAGGGTGATCTGGAATCTTCAAAAGACATCTCAGTCCAAGACGTCGTCTGACTGACCTTAGTGTAGGATAGTAGATACTTTAAAATTCCCTCTTGTCGCGGAGTCTACGCTAAACGCCTATCTGGTAAACCAGATCCTCCTCTGTCATCCAGCGATCCGGAAGCGGAATGGCCGCTGTAAGGCCGGCATCACTTCCGAAGTACTACCTTCATTCATTCATTCTCCCTTCATCCACATCCACACTCCATTCATCAGCAAGGAGGCTCCCTGTCTCGTTACAGATAGCGCGTAGAAGACCCTCATCGCTCCTAGTATGGCATCACTCCCAGGCGGGCATTTCCTCCTTCAACACAATCTGACTTACGCATTCTAACTCATACAGTCTGACCCAATGTTCTAGCTTCAACTTCCAACATCTTTCCCTCTTCGTTGGTCCAGCTTTCTTTCTTTCTCTTCTTTTTCCTTGATCACTGCACGGATATAGTTGTGTACGTTAGTCCAACCTTTATTTTCAATCATTCTCTCAATCGTTTCTCTCACTGTAACAAAATTCACATCCCTCTCTCTTTCCATTCTGTTCCTTTCTACTATCCATCTGTTGCAATATAACATCGTATGTGTCAGTGTCCGAGTGTCCATAGTATAGAGAGGTAGGCCCTAAAACACCCGTATCCTGAGAGCACCACGTCAGGAAATAATCCAGTCGCTTGTGGCCACAGTCCACCCAATCTCTTATGTTCGAGATCAGCATTTTCATCCACTGTGCCACGTCCTCCGTGTTATTCCATTCTCCTTGTCATCTTTCAATTGACCTTTCCCTTTTCTGTCTTCTCTCGGCCATAGTAAGGTTTGGGCTTCTTCTGTCATATAGCTCTTTTCTTTCCACCGCCAAAACATGTAACGGAACACATCCAGTGATGGTCCACAAGGCTGCTGCAGACACAATCCTGTAGGCGCATGCCACTCGCAACAGACTTTTTCTGTCCACTCGTGTGGTGACCCTCCTATAAGCCGTTATCTCTACGGTCGCGCTCCAGACTGGTGTCGCGTGGGGGACGATCGACTGTACAACATCGTGTAGGACCCTCCTCCTCTCGGATTTGGGTCCTCCAATGTTGAGCATCACCCACCCCAACGCAGCCGCACAATTCGCAGCCTTCCGGGCCCCCCATTTCCATTCTGGTGCAATGTCACTCCTAGGTACTTTACATGCTTCTTGGGTGTTAGAAATGCTCCCGCACATTGTAATTCAACACTTTGCCTGTTCCTTTTCCCCTCGGAAGATGGCTTCGGTTTTCTCTGCCGCAAGTTTCAGTCTGTGCTGCGTCATCCATTTCTTTACGACGCGACCTGTGTTTCGAACACGGTATTTGAGATCTGGCTCATCCCGGGCCACTAACAGTATAACGAGGTCATCCGCGAATGGAAAGGGGGTTGTATCCTCTCCGTATTCACAGTTAATAACCCCGTCAGAGGTTATGAACTCTGAATAGAGTGGGTACCTGACCGTTTAAGTTTAAAGGATGCTTCAAAATTCCCAAAAGATTTTAATCTGGTATTTTTGTGTCGCACAGTATTATCAAATAAAAAAAAGAGAGCTGTATAGTGAACAGTTTCATAAAATTCACGATCAAAATACCATATGGGACAATACTATGCCTAAGATGATTTATTTGTGTGGTATGTGTTTCTGTGTGTGTGTTTGAGAATTATTGATGTCCATTCCCCATCTTACCTTTATAACGATTTACTTACTCCTGGCCATGCACTCTTTGAATGAACGCAACCCATTTTCTGGAATCCAACAAGGCAATTCACACTTTGTTATAACTACACCAAAACCATTTTGCTAGATACCTTTATTTCTTTTTCTCACTGCAAACCCTGTAGAGCCTATGCGAAATTGTGTCCAAGACTTAACCACTGCCAGGTGTTTTCTACATATTTCGGGTTAAAATCTTCAATCAAATCCGAAACTGAAGTCAATTGATCACAAAAATGAAAGAATAAATATATTTTGGATATATGTATTATACCGAGGAATAGAAAATGGGCTACCTGCTACTTAAGTTCCATAAATAAAAAGGGAAAACAAAAAAAATCCAATAATTATAGGGGAATATGCGTCACAACTTCTGTAGTTAGGTTATACAGAAAAATTATTAAGAATATTATGGGAAGATCATAATCAAGAAAGGATAGGGGAACAACAGTGAACTTCAAAAGAACAGAGTGATTTTTGTCCCGGACGCTCATGTACTGATACTACATTTTTTTGTGGGTTCAATAATTAAGTGAAGTACACGTAGCTAAACTAATTTTAATTAAACACGCAAATGCAAAAGAAAAAAACGACTAACTCACTATATAAATAAAAAATGTCTCAATTATTATAGTATATCACTTTACAAGATAATCACTTCTCTAGTCGCATGAAAAACTATCCTGAAAATGGCGCCGCAGCTTTTACAAAAACAGTTGTTCTAGATATCGTCAGCAAAGTCATGAATGTCGAGTCAGCACTTTTAACACGAAATTCCAGAAAAATATCGTGAATAAACATTTAATATAACTCCAGGTAGAACAGTCCCGAACAGTACCTAAATGGGCCAGGTCGGTGGATATTGCCCGTTATAAGGACACAGTCTTCCTAGGTAAATGACCTTCGGCTTACTTCGTGGCGTGACTTGCGCCCTATATACAAGGTTGTTTATTTTCTTAGTAACCAGGTACGGTACCTCCTAGGGCTGCTGAAATTTGGAACAGACCTTTCCTTTTGGTTAGTTGGTAGAGCCAAACTGCATCACTTTCCTTAAAGCCAACGGGAGTGGATTTCTGATCGAACCTAAACTTCCTCCGGCCACTGGTGAGTTGTAGCTTATTCCGTTTAAACCGTGGACCTTAACCAGTGGATCTTTTAAGCTGTTGACATACTCGGAGAGTTTTTCTTGCTCCGCCTCTCCATCCAATCAATCAATAACATTGCTGAAGTGTAACCAGTTGCTTGATGTTGGGAGTTTTGGTAGGCTAGCAGAAACAGAAGCACGAGTTTGTCCCAGTCTCTTTGATTTTTATGTAAAAACAGGGACAGGTGGTCTGGTTATACCTTTCTGTCATGCCATCAGACTGAGGATGAAGCGGTTCGTTCTGGTCTTCTTAATTCTCAGAAAAGCCATCATAGTCTTCCAAACTTCCGATTTGAAGTTGAGCCCCCTGATCAGAATAAAGCAGAAGTCGAACCACATGTCAAGAAACGACATTCTCAAGCAGGGCTTGTGATTGGTTCTTGGTTGGGTAGGTTCTTCTGTCCATTTTAAAAAATAATCCATAGCAACCATCAAATACCTGTTTCCTGATGTTGTTACTGGAAACGGCGCCAGAATGTCAATAGCAACTCGTTCTCATGGAGTCCCGGTGATGTATTGTTGGAGTTTTTCCTTAAATCTCGTTTTTTGTTCCTTTTTGAATGCACACAGGTCACATCTTTTGCATCATTCTTCCACATCTTGCCGACAATAATAACTCTTATGGACTCTGACCAGAGCCCTATTTATCCCAAACTGTCCACCGGAGCGGCTATCATGGAGTCCTGCACGCACGTCCTTAACACATGACTTTGGGAGAACAACTTGGAGCTCTTCCATTTACGAGTGATAACGTCATCTCGAATACACAATGAGTCCCACTAAAGCCAGTAGCCCTTCACTGCTTGACCATATTTGGCAATCTCCTTCAACTGTGGCCTAGCTCCGTTGTCCAACCACTCACAGACTATTTTCAGATCTGGATCTTTCTTCTATTTAGCCTGGAGGTTTTCTTTCGCTACAGCTTTTTCGTCAACTCCATCTTCTAGGGCTTAATCCTCTAGTTCTTCTGGGGCGGTCGCAAAATCGGTAGTTCCTCTCTTTACATGGTCTTCTCGAAAGGCCAACGGTATTTCCATGACTTCTTCCCGCTCAGTGGCGAATTTCAAAATTATAGGTCTGTAGTTTCTCCAGCCAACGAGCTAGCTGGCCTTCAGGTGTCTTGAAATTGAAGAGCCATTGCAATGTAGAATGGAGGTGTTCTACTGCTTTAACGACCGCCAATAACTCCTTTCTGGTGATACAGTAGTTACTTTCTGCTTTTCCCAGAGTTTTAGTGAAGTAAACTATGACGCGTTCCTCACCTTCCTGCACTTGGCAAAGCACCGTCCCAATGCCATTTTCAGAAGCATCTATCAAGCACGAAAAGACTGTTTTTCGGATATGCCGGGATTGGAACCCTCGTCAATTTATGCTTAAGTGTGGTGAAGTCAAGCTGGCAGTCTGGTGTCCAATCTAAAAGCAGCTTCTCTTTGGTCAGTTGTGGTGAGTTTTGGCAATCTTTCCAAATTCTTTCGTGTTTGTTTCTTGTTGGGGGTCATTCTTGCACTGTTTTTATTTTTGCCGGGTCTGCTGCAACTCCTGATGATTGATGATTTACTTGTATGTGAGCGTTCCTAAGTCTGGTGAAAATTTCTCTTAAATTGACAAGGTATTAGTCGCAATCCTTTCCGATGATTATGATTCCATCGAGGTATGCCAGACAGGTTTTTCATGTAAGTCCCCTAAGTACTAGTTCCATTAATCGTTCAAACGTGACAAGTACGTTACACAATCCGAATGGCGTCACGTTGAATTGGTAGAGCCCATTTCCAGCAGAAAATGATGTTTTCTCTCTGACTTCAGGGTGGACTGCAACTTGCATATAGCCGCTTTTGAGATCCACGGTAAAAAACATTTCCATCCAGCCGACGCACTAAGCCTAAGAATATGATCAGCGGGTCTTTCTTGGTGATGCTATTTAATCTTCTGTAGTCGACACAGAACCGTGTGAAACCATCTTTCTTAGTTACTAACACCACTGGATAAGAACAGGGGCTACTCGCCTCTTCGATAACATTCTCGAAGATTGTCTATAAAACGCATGTAGCATTCAACGCTGAACTGCATTTTGTATTTGTGGATCGCCGAAAGGCCTATGATAGTGTCCCAGTCAATAACTTGTGGAAAGCAATGGAAAATCACTAAGTAGATAACATTTACATAAACGAAGAAAATATTTCTGGAAGGCATTAATAAACAGATCGTTTTTGTAGTAGTATTTACTTTTTTATCAGTAAAAAATACATGTTACCATTTAGATTGCCTTATTAGTTTTAAAAATAAACTGTAATCCAAATTCCTCTAATTTTTTGAGTGATAATAAGTTATAAAACAATTTTTCACAACCCATACATGTTAATTTTTTCCCATTATTACTTTTAAATGTAAATTTTTCTCTTTCCTGGCAATAATATGTTCACCATATTTTGCTACACTTATGTTATTCAATTTTTACAATTTTATAAAAATGGTAAAATCTTTAACCCTAAATCTTTGACCCTTTGACTAAATGGTTAGTTGTCTCACTATCTACTACAAATTCCATTGAATTTAAATACTATACTATTCAGATAATCAGCACTCTTGTGACCCACTTTCTTGCATAGATGAATTGAAAAGAAACATTTACCTGTGACCCATTGTGTTACCACTTTCCGTGACCTCGTCTACTGCCTTTACCTATAAAAACAGCATCAATGCTCTTTGAAGTTGTTCCCTCTTGGTTTCTGTCTTGTCTCGCCTTCTATACTAACATAAATAAATAAAGAAAAGAATAACAAAACAAGTACACTGGATTAAATGGAGCGACGATAATACAACCAAAACGGCACCCGAATCTTTAAGACAATAGTGGAAAACTGCTCAATGTATGGCTTAGAGATGTGGGTGGCAAATAAAATAATGGAAAACAGAATAAGTAAATGTAATGGAAACTATGTTTTGGGGAAGAAGCTGCAGATTAAGACTAACGGACAAAGTGAAAAATGATCTAATTAGAGAATTAATGAATGTAAAGAGATTCATTAATACACGGATGAGTAAATAAGTCAGTAACAAAAACTTGATGCCGATTCTTATAACAAAATTATCTTCGAAGTCTTGTACATCTTTACTGCAAGCATAGTCGTTAAAATGGTTGTATGTATGAATAAGAATATCAAAAATATTTGTTGAGATACACGTGTATCCACAACTTGTCGTTATGCTGATTTTAAATTAAAAGCATCAACGGACAACTCTTCTTCCAAAATGATAGTAATCAGGCAATAAGAGCTCATAGTTCTCGCTATAGCGACGTGAAAACAAATCCGTTTTTGTATCTAAATTGAAGATATTAAATGAACTTTGGTTGACTTTTCTATTCATATCAAAAACTCTATTTGAATACTTGAATCTGATTTTTGTTCACTACCATGTTGCTTTTTGTAACTGACTGTATCAAAACTTTGACATTCGTTCAATTATTATACAATCTATACATTTAAAACTATTTTTGCTTCCAGCTGTCACAAATATCCGAGAAACCAAAAAACGGCCTAAAACCCATATCCACAGGCAACTGGGGCTGCGGATCTTCCCACAAAGGTGACGTCCAGTTAAAAGTCATCATACAGTGGATGGCTGCTAGCGTAGCAGGTGTACCGGCACTGATCTACTGCACTTACGGCCATCAACAGCTAGCCAAACTAGATACAGTCTGCAGAATACTGATTGACAGAAAATGGACGGTAAGAGACTTGGCAGAGGCGGCTCTTAGATATTCGAATAGGGTTATACAAGGCAAGGAACTCAGTGGGACATTGTTTGAGGAGCTGATTGGCATGGAGAGAACAGTGTAGGGTTAAACTGTTATTTGTTACAATAAAAATATACTTGCGAGAAGTTCTGAGGTACAGGGAAAAATGAATTAACAAATAAATTTAGAAAACAATAAGAAATTGATATTTTTTCAATCAGTTATGGGAACAGTAGAACAAAGTATGAAAATAAATATTTTATTAATGTTTGTATTTAAATCGAAAACGTAATTAACATAAATATATGTTACATTTTGACGTCTTCAGCCGAAATTATCTAAATGTGCATAAATAACCTTATTTTCTCAATTTCATAGTATTATTCTCTTACAGGATTGCAAAAAGGACGATGTTAAAACATTTTTTTTACAATATTAGATCATTGTTACTTTTTGGATCAAGAAAAATCAAATCTAAATACGAGAGTCTACAGTTACGTGTTATGAAATGGACAAATGCATTTAAGGATTTGGTTTTAAGAATTTTATTAAAACTTTCAATTGAGTGCTACATAGATTCCACAAAGTATCAAGAAAGAACCCCATTCGATTTTTAAATCACGAGATTTTTCTCCTCTCATATTATTACGACGTTTCAGGCGTTGTACTGTTGTTTTCGGAATTCGGATTCCCCTTCCCATGTCATTTACCCACTTATATTTTTTCTATCCAGAGATCACCAAAGTATATTTATACAGGGTGGTCTTTTAGTAATTGTACAAAAAGAAACAGTAGATTCTACACTATAAAATATTACGATTTGAGCCAACTTGCTTTAATAAAATGTTATTAAGAAAGATACAGGGTGTTAAAGTGAAAATTAAAAATTTTATTTGTCGCTATAACTTTCATGTTTGTGAACATTTATGTATAAAAATATTCAACTTAAAGCTTTTGAGTATGAGGAATTATAATTTGATGCATACTTTGATGTAGCTGATTAAGGACGCTATTCGCTCCGTGCGTAACCGTGGTAGGGGTACCTTGAAACGATGCTCTTTTTAAGCAAAAATTTTATCAAAAATGGGTGCGAATAGGTGTTGCGTATTTAATTCTATAATAATAGCAAAAGTAGTGAGTGTAGTTTATATAGGTTTCCAAAGATTACATATAAATTAGAGAAAAGAAAAATATGGATTAATGCTATTAATATGAAAAAGTGATATCACATAATCTCATTTTTGCAACTGAAATAGAAAAAATTTAAATAATACAATACAATAAATAACCTATAAAAGATATTTCATCTGGCTTCAAGCTAACTGCAGCCTGCCTAATGACTTTAGCTTTTATATGATAACTTTTACTATTATTGCGATTTGCCAGCACTAGATTTTTCCCCTTCTTTTTCGTTTGGGATGGAAAAGATAAACTATGATGAATTTTTAGAAACACAGTTCTCAATACTACATCCATTTTGTTCATAAACTGGAAAAATATATTTAAAAAACTAATTAAAAATAATTGTCAATTTCTTATGTATATATTTATCATATATAACATATGTTTAACCTCAAATTTGGAGGTCCAAAACTGTCAGATGAAGGCGGTAGGTGTCGCGTCAGTCACGCACGGGGCGAATATATGTCACATTTACGGCATATGTTTGTGTACAGTAAGTTGTCACGTTTAGGATAAAATGAACCACTATCGCCTAAATTCCGAAATAGATGTTTAAAGGATTGGTGATTAGGTTGCAGTCTGTTTGGATATATTTTTAAATAATTTCTTTTTGCTGCACGCCAGTTGTGTTGCTAATAATAAATAGCAATCATATCTCTCATATCTGTATTAGAAAAATTATTATGCCTCGGCGTGTTCTGCTTTTCTTAAGTAAACCAAAATAAACTGGATATTACAAAGATCGTTGAATAATCGAAACACGACTTATTTTTAGTTGTCATAAGCAGTCGTGACATCAGCCTACTATGTTAAAATTTTCCGTAATGTATAGCACTTTTAAGGGTTTTTAAATATACCCATTTACAAATATCTAACCTCTTTTTTGTGATACGTGGTATACAGCCAGCTGCAGGAATTATTTTCCTTGTGGATTTTATTAAGTATACCTTTTTTTATTTAAACACTGTATCTTTAATATTTTTTAACACAAATAGCGCCAAGTCAAAGAGCAAAAAAGTAAGGAGCAAATTTGCATAGCATATGTGACGCCCCCTATCAGCATCAAATTATAATTTAGCTGTAAATTTTATACATAAATGTTCACAAACATGAAAGTTATAGCGACATATTTTAAATTTCCACTTTAACACCCTATATATTTCTTAATACCACCATTTCAACAAAGCAAGTTGGCTTAAATTGTAATATTTTAGGTGTAGAATCTACTGTTTCATTTTGTACAATTACTTAACTGAATTATCATTCACAACATCGAGCATATCGACTATACAGATATATTTGCTGTAAACATTAAAGAGCTGAAAGTTTCTATTAGGTATATATCATTCATAAAATAAGTAAGCTGTAATTATCTCTGTACCTTCAGATGTAATAGTTTGCCAGTGAATTTCAAATTTGTATATTTTTGTACATTTTCGATTTAATTTATTTATAAAAAACATAATACAGGGTGAAATATATGTCCAAATAAGTTCAGTTTCAAAATTATTTGGGATTTTTAAATGTAATAAAAATGATGAAGAATTATAGTAGGTCTTTCAATATTTATTTATACCGGTAGACGATTTTTATACAGTACTTTGACATTTTTGTAAGTAGGTTTATAAGTAGATTACTTTGTACTGCAGTATTCTATATTAAATAGAATAATAAATGTCGGATTCAGCAGTGTAAGTTGACACCTTATAGTTTTAAAAAAATATTTATTTTCTCATTGCATAAGATATTTTTTAACGATTTATTTTACACTTGAATGCAAAAAAATGACTTAAAAGCGAGATTTTTGAGATTACACCTTCTGTTTCGATGATTGAAGTTAATAATTATTTTATTATTAAATTTACAAAAACTTGCTATTGAATTATTTGGAGGACGCATTATAAAAACATGCAATACGAATAGTATCCTAAGTATTACAATGTCATGAAGGATGTTATGAGCAAAGAAATAATCAATTACAAAATGAATTTCTTTATTTTTTAGTATTTCATACTACCGCTCCTACTCCTAATTACATTTTCCAATCCATTTCGCATGGATTGGATGACTTTCCTAATAAATTCTTGATGCATTGCTTCCCATTCATAATTAAGCGCAGCTCTCACTTCCATTATGCTCTCTGGTGCATGATTTCTCTGATAAAAAATGACAAGTTGTTTATCTTCGGTAAAAAATGCCTCTTTTGATAGGCGTACTTGTAAATCACCCTGTATATGTTAAAATAGCCAGTGCCTGTACTCAAGAGTCAGAAATAAGCACGGTCTTCCCACTTTTATATGAATATTTTTGGAAGTAAGAATCTGTCTTAAAATTGAGAACAATGTGAATTTTAAGAAAATCACTGTAATAACCTATTAAAACAAAAAATACAATCCAATTATTATTTTTATCAGTTTTCATGTTTAATACCACCAATAAATCTGTTTCAAACACATTACATGTGCTCAGAGTTTTCTTCTACACCTCAATTACTTTAAAAATCCTATCAAAATGTACAGGCATCCCTTTAGCTTTACAGTTATATTCACATATATTTCTTTTTCTCTTGAGACAGTTTCTTACAACTTATCTTTAAGAAAGACATTGTATTTATAGGATTGTTTATTAAATTTTAATAAATAATACAACAGTTAGTGCTCTTAGAAATTAAAAAAAGATACCCCTCATTCTTCTACCCACTCCTTGTCGATCATAGAGAATATTGAACCTTGTAACAAACTGATTCAAATCGTTGCAGCCTTTTGTTAGGGTTCCTAGGTAAGTCATCAATCCTACATCATTGCATTGCTGAAAGTTACAAAATAAATTAATTATAAACTTACATAAGGGATCTCACCTGTTCCACATTCATTCACGGAAAAGATGTTAAAAAATGTCAAATAATTTTTATTGGTGTAGAGAACATAATCAAAGCCAGCGGCAGTGTTTACATATCTACTACTGTGGATGAATATTTACTTGTTAGAGTATGATATCCTCAATAAACTTGACTTAATTTCTCCTTGTCTTCTGCATATTTATGCCATGGACCATTTGTTTGATACATCCACCTTCGAGATCAATTTGTCAGTCTTAAAACAAAGAGTGCACTTTCTCTTACCAGCTCTTCCAATTGAAGCTGTTGGCCAATCAGTGGTGGATTGCTTCCACCAGCAATTAAACATTTTGATAAAACGGTGCAAAAAATAAACAAGAATATGTTAGGCAAACTGCCAGTAGTAAAAAGAAATAATGGGCAACCTACAAAATGTTAGTTAAAAGGATTAGAAGATACCGAAGTTTGAAAGGGCACTTTGCCTATTGAGAAGAATGAAGAAGCACTATTTACCTGAACAAATATAATAAATATTTAATTTAAAAGTTTATAACAAAGTACTAACTCAATATATTGAGCAGAATTATTTCTATTCTTTCCAAAAGTGGATTTATTAACCGTTTCGGTATGGTACCAGTTTACTAGAGGTAAACTTTTTTGAGAGGAGTTTACTTTTTTGCTGAGAAATTAAATATAGGCACCGAGAAGTGACTAACATAAATGACCACAGTGGAGATGTACACGATGAGAGGGAGAAAAATAATATACCAATAGTTGTCAAAGAAATTAAAAGGTTAAAAAACAACAAATCCCCTGGAGAATATGGTATACCCCCTAAGCTGTTCAAGTATGGAGCAAACGCGGTAAAAAATACATAATAAAACTTGTTGCATCCATTTGGAGAGAAGGAAAACTCCCAGACAGTTGGAATGTAGGTATTATAATACCTATTCACATGTAAGGGGATCCACTAATATGTGATAACTATCGAGACATTACCCTCTTAAATATAGCTTACAAAGTACTGGCTTATATATTTTATGATCGTTTACTAGTATATACTGAGGAAAAAATAGGCAAATACCAATGTAGATTCCGAAAAGAAAGGTCAACAATTGATCAGATTTTCCTTCTCAGACAAACCGTAGATTTTAAAAGCGCTTATGACAGTGTAGACAGAAAAGCACTTTATAATGCCATTGCAGAACCAGATATTCCGTCGCTTCTAATAACATTGGTAAAGGCAACTCTTTCGAAAGTTGAGTGCAACATCAAGGTGCAAAATAGAGTGTCAAGGTCTTTTCAAACACATACTGGATTACGCCAGGGAGACAGTCTATCGTGCCTATTGTTTAACATCGCGCTAGAAAGAGCCATAGAGAAATCGGGCATAACAACCAGAGGTACGATCATCAATAGAAGTGTACAGATATTGGCCTATGCAGATGACATTGACATAGTAACACAGACAAAAAGCGACCTGATACAGGATTTTGAAACATTAGAAAAAGCCGCGAAGATAATGGGACTGTAGGTCAACGTATCCAAAACAAAATACATGAAGCTCACGAACAGCACACAAATAGCGGCACCACAAGATCTAGTGACAGAAGCACACACATTCGAAGGGATCTCAGAGTTTATGTATCTTGGAACACAACTAAATAGCAGCAACTTAGTAAGCATAGAAATTAAGAGAAGAATATACTTGGCAAACAGAGCTTACTTTGGACTAAAGCAGTTCCTAACATCACAGATAACTAGTTCTTTGAAAGAAGAATACTTAGGCACATATGCGGAGGAGTACAAGAAAGCGGGATACGGCGCAGACACTACAATTTTGAGTTGTATCAATGCTATGAAAAATGCAACATCATCTGGTCTATTAAAACTAATAGACTAAGGTGGATAGGACACCTTGAAAGAATGGACACTGGAGACCCCCAAAGCCAGATATTATATTAAGAGCCAGTAGGAACCAGGAAGACAGACAAGCCAAGATGTAGATTTAAAACTAAAGTAGAAGATGACTTGAGGAATCTAGGAGTCAGAAATTGGAAAGCCAGGGCGAAATATAGGGGGGAATGGAGACTAATTCTTGAACAGGCCAAGACCCACCCAGGGTTGTAGAGCCAAAGATGATGATGATGACCAGTTTACTAGGATATGGCTGACTGAACGGGCGCGGACAGAGCTTCTCATCCTGAACGGTTAAAACTACTCTGTTAAAAATATATTACATTTTGTTGTTCCTTAATAAATTTTTGTTGGCGTACATTGAATTATACTTGGCATACCATCCAATGATTTTTTTTATTATAAACTAAAGCTACACTCAAATAAACAAAAAAGTAATCAAATCGCATGTAATGGGATATAGTTGACAAAAGTCTATGTATTTAACTTGAGTCACTTCCTGTCTACTGGGTACAGACATTTTTAGCAACTATGATGGTTTTCTGCCGCGAAAGGGTTAAACTAGGTTTTGTATTAATTAAAGTCACACTCTAATACTTACATTATAAAAATCTTGTCTAAATCTTGATCCATCAATAACAGGCAACCTGTGGCATAAAGAAAAGGCATCTCTAAGTACTTCATGATTCCTCGGTAACTGCCCATTCTGCACGGCTTTCATATATTCCAGCACCAACCTAACTCTAGAATGAAGCATTTTAATGGCACTATGCTGAGCAGTAAGATGTTCTGCTACTAAGGAACTCTCTCCAGAATCTGTTGCTGACATTCTGGCCACATGGTCAACACCAATTCTTTCAGCTTCTTCAGTTGCTAGTGTGTATGTAAGAGAGACAAACAGCATTGTGGCTTCACCATTTACTAGGTCTATCACAGATTCATATAAGTTTACAGGTAAATGCTAAAAATTATAAGTGTATTGTTAAAGTGTGTATTGCCAGAGTCTAGTCTATACTACCCTAGTTTTCAATATTGAACATAATCAACCCCTTGCATCTTTTAGCTTATTTTTGAGAACCCTTGTTATTAATATATAAAAACAACACTGTTATGTGGAAGTGCTGACTAAATAATCAGCTTGATGAGTATAAGAAAGAGTATAGGAAAGGACTATGTATATGACAAAATATATATTTTGTTCACTGATAGTACTAACTGTCTAGTAAATTTAATAATTAGGATCACAATCACTATAGTAACTAGATAATTCATTATACACAAGCATACATGTGCTGAAAGTCTTTGTAACTTTAAGTAAAAAATTATTCACATGCAGTTTATCTGGGTGCAAACTTAAATGAACAGTGGGACGAATGGAAGGAAATTAAGATAAGGATCGAGAAGGCAAGATCAGCTTTCATCAAAATGCTGGAATACCTGGGCCATATAATGTGTAACGAACAATGATATGACCTACTTCAGACCATACTTCAATGTAAAGTGCGTGGAAAAAGAGGTCCAGGACGAAGAAGATTAGCCTAGCTGCATAAACTGTGAAAATGGTTTAACTTAACCACTACCAAACTTTTCAGGGCAGCAGACAAAGTCAGAATAGCCATGTTAGTGTCCAACATCCATAACGGATAGGCACGATAAGAAGTTATGTGATATATTATGAATAGATATTTTCTTAGCATATTTCATTTTAGCCTCATTTTTTGATAGTGGTCATGAGGCTACATCCAAATACTGTTTTTATATGTTTTTTTTCTTATTACATCTTTCCTTTGTTTTACTCAACATATTAATTTAATACTGACTGAGGGGTTAAGCAGGAATTTTTAATTATTTCAATACACTCATTACTTACTTCAATATTTTTATCATAAGGATTGAGCTTCAATAAAATGGGAGATTCATTGATTTCACAAATTTGTTTATGGACTTTAATATCCATTTCACTTGGAGCATCACCTGTTGTGTACCAGCCAATGAAATCCAAATCACTGAAGACTTGCTTAACTAAAAAATAATTAAATATGTTTAATACCACATTGACATAAAGTACATCGTAATATAAGGGAATAACATAGATATATCCCTTAAATTGTTTTTTAGAAATTGTTGTAAGGTCCCTGAAGTAACAATTATATTAATTTGGTAAACTCTAGGAATACCATAGAAATATAAAGAAGCAATAGGTACATAAAATTTTTTTTGTTGAAATTGATTGAATGTTAAACAAATTTGTAATAAACCAAGAAAGAATGTTATAGTGCCTAAGCCTTACTGACTGAGTTAAAACATATAAAACAGATAAAATGATTGCAACCACTACTAAAGCACAAAAAAAAACAAAAATACAGATAAATATCTAGACAGCCAGTCTTTACAAAAAAAATTAAATCATAAGTTATGAATAAAACTACTTACACTGCTCTTCTTTCATGTTGTAATAGTCTTTATCAATAACTATGTCACCTCCTATAAGAGTAAATACTAACTCAAATGAATTCATAACTTCAATATTTCTACCCTTTTGTTTGCCGATCAAAGCGCCAATGACTAAAAAATAAAGAAATATATGACACATGCACTAATCTATTCAATAAATGTAATTTACCTTGTTGGACAGCTCCTTCTTGGGCCCTTTCCCTAGTCCAATGTTCTGATACATTCATTATTACAAGAGGATGAAGGGAACAAGTGATTGATCCAACAGCTCCGGGGGCCATTACATTTTTGCCTGTATCTGTGGTTATATCCATGGAAGATTTTGAATTTTCAGCAACCGGAGCTATTTCCACCTCAACTTCCATTGCTTCCTTGGCTTCGCTCATTTTTAAAAGTTTTTGACTATATTTTTATTTTTACAATATAAACAACAAAGCAGCAACCGAAATCAGAAATGAAACATTGAAACATAGTACATACCCCCCTAGTAAGGTAACTCCCATATAAAGTTTTGGAAGAGAGTTTCTAGCGCCAAATACGGACGGGCCGAAACTAGTTTCATTTGGCGGCAAATTCAAAACGTAAATTCAGAATTTTAGGCGGCAAATTCAAAAAATATGCTCTGAATTTTAGGCGCCAAAATTCAAAAAGTATGTTTTTAATGGAAAGTAAATATAGTCATAAAATAAGAAATAAAAACTTATTCTATGCCAGAAAATATATCCTCTCTGTCCAAAAATATAGTATACACCTACACATTTTTATATATATATATATATATATATATATATATATATATAATATATATATATATAAATGTATATATATATAAATGTATAACATAATATCTGATACAGAGAGAGTATATATTATGGTACAAGAAAGTTTTTATTTAATATTTTATGATTAAATCTGTTTTCCATTACATTAACAAACCAAAGTCCCAAAAATAACAAAATAAAACACAAACATCCTGACACTTGTTTATTTGTATAATTTTCTTTGGTAAAATATTGGCAACATATCCTCCTCCTCCTCCTTACTTAAGCCCTTGTTAAGGTGTGGGTGGAGACACTCTAAATATTGTTAACTTGCTGTCTCCATTGGCTGCAATTCTGTACCAGATGAACAACTTCGTGAAGGGATTTTTCCACCAATCTTCATTTAATCTTCCCATCATGTTGTGAGATCGTCATTTTTATATACAAATATAGATACCTCTATATTTATTAGCAATGGTTTGTGGTAAGTTCCATACCTTCTAAAATACTTTTCCTTAAAGTACCATATGTAGATAATAAAGTGTAAACCCTAGCATGTCTGCGATCTTGTTCTTCACAATGCTCACAAATTGGCATGTGACTCAATGTAACTGTTACTCAGAAGTAGAAGATCCATGAAAATCTAAAATAATGAAATATTATTAAAATTAAGAATGCATTGACTTTTTTTATAAAATAAGGCCAATCTTAGGAATGCAATTAAAAGAGTCATAAGAGTTTTTTTTTATAAAATAAGGCAATGTTTAGGAATGCAGTGATAAGAGTTAAGAGTTTTAATGAGTTTAAAATCTATACAGTATATAAATATAAGATTAATGTTAGTTAAGATTGAAAGATAAATTAACTACAAAAACAAAATAGTATCAAGTTTGTATCTACTAAAAGTTTGGTATAATTAGGTGCTGTTCTTACCTGGTGCTTGTAAAAATAAACTCCTAATCCTCAGAATGTTTAATAGCCGTTTGTCCAATAACTTTCACCCATCCACAAAAAATATTCTTTGGAAAATTGGAAATACTATACCATTTTGGTAATGTACCTTCTTCTTTAGCAGGTCTATTAGATATATAAAATTTGATGTATACTGTTTTTATCGTCTATTTCTAAAATTTGGGATACGACTATTGTAAACAGTGTGGTGTAGAATTGTTTATTTTCCTCATAATAAATGTCAACCAATATGAAAACAAGTCCATTTCATTTTTTGGGTTTGGAAAACGAAATCGACTGTTTGTGTAGTCGGTGCAACCATGAACATAACATTTTTTTACCTTTTATTCTATTTTGTTCCATTTCAACGATGGTAAAACACAATTTTTACAATTAAGATGATAATAACCAAAACCAACAGTGTTACCAGTGGCTGGGCATGGAAGGATGCACCTCCCTGTCAAAAATTATGCGATTTTGTACAAAATTATGCGCTCTGTTGTAAAACGTAGAAGTAATCACCAAACGATAAAACAAACCTTGTCCTTACTGTCATCTGTCACTGTCATGTCCTGTCAGTTGTCATTGTAATAGTTATTGAAAGGTTGAAATGAAAGTGTGTCAAACTCGAAACGGTCAAAACAAAACACAATGCTAAAGAAAAAAGTAGGATTGAATATTGAATGGAGGTTTTTAGTTTTTATTTTGTTTAGTGTTGAGGTTAACAGAAAGATAAAGATAAGAAAAAGAAAGTGTGTGGTACTGGCACACGATTATAACTTAAAAACTATGAGCAATATAGCAATATAGCGCACCTGGACTGGAATAATTTTATTAGGTGAGTATACAATTATATATTATTTTTTGTTTCTATTTGACTACAATTCATGTTATTGTGAAATTTGTTTACTTTTTAATGCTTGTGTGGTACTAAGAATAAGAATTATTCTACCATCATAGACATAGGAAAATATGCTCTAGGAATTGTTACATTTTTAAAGTGGCAACTGGGAACTGCACTTTTGAAACCAAAAGTTATAATTATGACTCTTTCCTAAATACTTATTATACTTATTTTTATAATTATGTAGTTTAACTTTTTTTTTAATTTCAGAATACCCTATGCACTGTATCAGAAGAAATTGATGAACCTGTTTTCATCAACCATGGTATTTTTCTATGTTTCCGACAGAAAATTTATTGTGGAAGGATTTACTTACGTGCTTTTAGGTATAACAATGATGCTCCTGTTATTCGCTTCAACAAAGAAGATGTACCTTTAGAATTGAAAAATAGGATCAAAATTTGAAATTTTCAAAAATATACATCTTTTGTAATAATCTAACTTTAATCATCAGTTATAAATAGTACTTACATGTAAACAACAGATTACATATTTTAAACTCCTAATGTAAATTATTCTATTTAACAAAAAATCTTAAATAAAAACGTATACTTAAAGTAAAAACATACTATATTAAAATACAAGCTACTGATTGTCTTTCCATATATTATGGCCTAGCATTTTTTTGGATGGTATGAATTTTAAGCAACCGCCATTGTTTTCAACTCCTGCTTTTGTTGCCAAAATAGCTTTTGCAGTTGAAGTGTTTAATAAATTCCGTTTGTCACTTTTTATGTTAAACAAATCATTAAATATACGTTCTACACTGGCATTAGAGAATGGTAAAACAAAAAGTAGCTGTAGCGTCTTTTTAAATTCGGAAATAAAAAAGCATTAGCATCATTTTTTAAATTAAATATTTGAGACCAATATTGCTCACAGTCATCTGAATTTAAATTTAATTTTTCAAAGTCTAATAGAGCATGTCTTCTCCATTCATTGTCTAACTCCTGAATATTAACATATTCTTTTAAAATAGGAAATTGATTAGTTACACATTGTAATGATTTTATTTCAAAACTTTGTGCAATTTTGGGATCCAATATTGAAATTATTTTATAGATAGGGTCTTTAAAGGTGAATCGATTTTTAATATTACTAACTAATTCTATATAGAATTCTAAAATACATTTAAAAAAACTATCAAATTCTTGTTTGTTCATATTTGGATTTTTTTTTAATTCTTGCAAGCTTTCTGTTGCAGCAATTCCTATATAAATATCATGTAGACTAACAAAATTTGTAGGGTTTTCATGGTTAAGGATAAATATATCATTGGTTCTTTTTATTACAGACATCTTTATAAAATTGGAACAAAGCGTTCTCAACAGAGTTTCAGTTTGTGGCTTAACCTTACAAAGAAGTGGTTTTTCTGACTGAAAGAGTAAATTGAAGTCTGTCATTAGTCCTAAAGAATATGACATAAACTCTAGATATACTGGTGTGAACAAATTTGACATGGTTTCCAACATTGTCTCTGTTGTAATTGATGGGTCTTCAAATACATATTCTGTCAAATATGCTCTAAGTGGCTCATATTGCTCAAGCACTCTATCGACACATTCTTTAATAGATAACCATCTTGTTATGGCTGGAGAGAGTATCTTGTGAATTTTCACTTGAAAAAAATTTTGAAACTCTATAAATTTGTGTCTCCTCAAAGCACTCCTATTAAAGTGACTGCCTATGTTTCGGAGCAGATCTTCCACATGCCTAGGTAATTTTAAACAGGCTTTTGATGTAGCTAAATGTGCCATATGACATGAGCATCTAATACATATTATATGTGGAAATTCTTCCTTTAACTTGGAAAATACAGAATTAAACTCTCCAACCATAACATTGGTGGTATCTGATGAAAACCCTACAAAATTTGTTAGTGGAATATTCTTTGAAGTTAAACAGTTCTTTAGAATACCATATAAATCATTAGCTGTTGATCCCTGAGCTTCAACAAGATCAAAAAATTGTGTTTTGGTTGAATTATTTTCATAAATTATAGTAGTGAATGCACATTGCTTTTTTATTGAAATATCAGTAGTTTCATCCATAACTAAAGAAAAAAAACATCCTGGCTCCCTTAATTTAATATATAGTTCTTCAAGAAAATTATTCCCCAAGTTATTGCAAATAATTGACGTCGCTTTGGTTCGTTTTAAATGTAATTGTTTAGCAATTTTCGAGTCAGGAAATATATTTTGAATTAAAGGAGTTAGGGTGTCTACTAATAAAAATGGCAGGTTATTGCTTGCCAACAAGGCGCATAACTTTAACTCTGCCGTTTTTACAGCTAAATCATCAGCATTTGGTTTATACAGTTCAGTAAGTTTAATATTGCTAGTCACTTTTGTCCAATTTAATTTATGCCTATCACTTGTTGAATGTTTTAATAATACACTTTTATGAGCTACAATATCACAATCACATACCTTGCAATAGGCGTACTCATTACCCTCAGATGATGGTTGTTTTGTAGATTTTTCTAACCAATTCATGAATTCTGGTACACTTTTCCAAGAGCTGTTAAAAGTCTTCTTTTTTTCATACTTTGAGGCTTTTTCCATTTTTATTTTCTTTTTTGCTGATGTAGGATCATTCTAAAATATAATTATAATTTAGATGATCTAAATCAATAAAATATTATTCAAATACAAATTTATTTTACTACTGTAGTAATACTGAATTTCTGTAATTATATCTTATATTTGTAGTTTTTTTAGTTTAGTTTAATTGTATTATCCATATAATTTTAATAAATAATTAAGTTGTTGAGGTCTGTGTTTTTTTATAATTTTAAAATTATTAATTATTTATATATGTTACCATATTATTAGTATCGCCATTGTCACTCA